CATTTAAAGTACACAGGTAACCCAAATCCAATTGGTGCACAATAGTTCGTTCTAGCATGCGCTCAACAAGGTGAGCGGCTAGGGCTCTTAGAGCGCACGGATGAGAATCCATATAGCCGAGTAAAATTTGTGTGGTTACTGCCCTTCTCTCGAAGATCTTTACTTCGAACTAAAGTCACAAAAATAAGCTGATGCTGGCTGTCTTGGGCTTTAAATCCACAAATTTTATATTTGTTACATCATCTATCTGACAAATAAGTTGAAAAGTCCAGGTCAAGTCCAGGTCCAAAGGGCATGCAAACCACTATTTTGGAAACGCCAGTCTTCTGAATTTACAGCAAGAATTTGCGAAAATTGTCATACTCCACAGGATGTTTAGCAGCATTTGCCTTTCCCTTACCCTTGAGCTCTGCCCTCTCTATGGATACAAGTAAATTATTTACATTTGTTGATCTTGTAGGATTTCCCTTCATATCAACTGGATCCCAGTCGTTGACAATACAAGGCATATAATAGGAAATAGAGTAGGTGATCATTAGGACAAGGGGTTTCACTACCGTATACCAGTAGACAGAAGTAATTTATCTTATGCTGTAGTGGTATCTGTGTTGGGATAAAAAAATTTCGTGCGCATCCCAATCATGATCTGGTTTCCAATACTTCAGGAAATCCTTATAATTCTTTGCTTGTCGGGCGAGAATAGCATGCGAGGGGGCCATCGTATACCTTGGTGTTCACAAAGTCACTTAAAAACGAGTAATTGTGTATGTATGTATGTGCTATGTTTTGGTGGAAACACATTGATTATCTACAAATCGGAACTTGCAGAATCTAGAAAACTCCATAAAAGTTGGATGAAGTTGCTTTTGTTAATTGTAGGTCCAACCATTCCGGCCCGACCATTGCTGAAATACTGTGGAACGCTTAAGAACTGCCGTCAGAAATCTATGGTACACTATCAAATATCCATGTGTCATCCAATGAGATTGCGGGCTACAGTCTAGGACGGCAGGCAGCAATCCAGAACGACAGGTACTAGTAAAGAGTACAACATAGGTTGCACAACCGACACAATTCGATGTACATGGCTAAGATGGGATAGTCTCTAAATGTACATACACACCTACAGGAATGTTCTCTATTCATCCTATGAAATATTCTGCTGTTAATTTTCATTTCCTTCACAATTTACTAAATTCCCTTCGGCGAACTGGTATATAAGAGGAGTTTATATAGGGAATGTCGCAGCCGTACAATCCCACAGTGTACTGTTAGTTCACGAGGCCTAACTAACTTTTTTTTCTCGACTATTATACCATGCTTATTTCGAAATACTATTAAGTCCAATAGCTCTAGTAACAAGTCTTTCTATACTATTTCGATCACACGCATCTTTTCATGAAGTCGATTTGATATTTTCCTTCACTATTTACTAAAATCCCTTCGGCGAATTAGTATATAAGAGAAATATATTTAGGGAATGTCCCAGTCTTACAATCCCACAGAGTAACTGCTAGTTCACGAGGCCTACCTAACTTTATTTTTTCGACTTTTATGCCGTGTTTATTTCGAAATACAATTAAGTTCAACACCTTTAGTAACAAGTCTTTTTGTACTATTTTGATCACACGGATCTTCTCATGAAGTCGATTTGAATATTTTCCTTCACTTTAAACTAAAATTTATTTGGCGAATAAGTATATGAGAGGATTTTATGTGGGGAATGTCGCAGTCTTCCTATCCCTCAGAGGACTGCTATTTTACGAGGCATACCTAACTTTTTTATTCGACTGTTATACTATGTTTATTTCAAAGTACTACCAAGTCCAATACCTATAGTCACAAGTCTTTCTATACTGATTCGATCACACGGATCTTTTCATGACTAAGTCGATTTAAATATACCATCTACGACTTGATCTTATCATGTTGATAAACTCAATTGGACGTAGATATGGTTTCTAAGATCTGCTGATCCAAATAATCGCAGATCTACTAATCCAAATAATCGCTATTTAGTGATCTGTGTCCAAGCACACTCAATATTGACAAAAAAAAAGCACGACAGTCGTCGAGGACAAATAGTTTATGCTAGGAATTCTCCGGCTGATTTAAGAAGCGGGAAACCGGCGAACCATGCATTTTGCACAAAAGCCGTTGTAATAGATGAAATCAGCATTGGTTAGGTTAACATTACATGCAAATACACTGACAGATAAATACTTTGCCACTCGATAGCCGTTTGCCAATATTGCAACGATTTTCGGGCGCTGACATCCGAGTAAAATTGGATAGCAATATTTGTGATTAGTTGTAGTATAAAGGACTACTACTTACAGTCTCCAAATTTTGTAAATGTCATAATGTTCAGAGTAAATACTTGACCTATCTAAAAACCCTATATCACAAGAGGTTTTAGATTTTGTTAATACACATCACTCAAAATGGGGCAGTTTTAGACATAACATAAAATACCCATCGAGAGAGTCAAATTTGGAAAAACGTCGAACGATTATATCGTACAATAGTCTTTGTATTCGAAAGTAGCAGGACTGATTAAACTACGTTACATATAATATAATCACACTTACAGAAAAGGAAATATCACCCGCTAGCTATTGTCGATATTAAAACAAGTTGCAGCTGCTGCACAATGGTGTCAGATATATTACCAAAAACGAATAATAATTTATAGTGATTGTACTAAGTGTAGTATTGGTACCATTCCAAATCTTTTATTCAAGTGACACCAACTGACCAGCTCATTGCTGAAATAGGATCTCGTTAAACCATTTTATGTCGGAAGATTGAAATGTTAAACGTTCATGTCATAGGTTACAGATACTGACTCCACAACTTACACATTTCGCAATTAATACACAATCAACTAAAGGATGTGCAATATATATTGTTCTTCAAAATTTGTCGCCTAAAAGGGATTTTGTGATTCATTAGTAGCTTGCCATTCCTGGAGCTCGATACACGGTAGATACGTTAGCGGCAATTTTTTTATCCGTGACCTTGGACGCTTGCACTATATATGATAGAATCTAACTCAACACTAAAATGGGCCGAGTTTAGTTTTCTAAATACTATGTTAATTATACAACGCTCTTCGTCTCGGTTGATGAAGGATCCAAACTATTCTAAAGTAGGGCAATATACAATAGTAGATCGCCCTGAAAACTATAATAGGCAAAAATAATTTGCTCTCCATTGTCGAAAATATTTGTTCTCTGAGGGCTATAAATCAAATTTACTTCTGCAATCTGTCTAACACAAGATAACTATAAACTGTGTCATTTAAACTAGGTACGGTCTTACTTTGTGTCTCGAAATGGGAAGGCTTGCGATTGTGACAGAATTTAGCGTCCTGAAAGCAACAAAACGGTGTGGTGTTTTAATCAGATATCAAAGACGAGTATCAAAGACATTCAAACCGAATTGACAAACAAAATGGAACCACCGCAATTATAACCTGCATCCCAAACACAGGCTCGCCAACTGAAGACGCGAAGGTTCTCAATGTGGGACTATGCCTCACAATTGGCGAGTGTAGAGACTTAAGCTGTTGACCGAGTGCTAGTAGGGCAGTAAGCGCTATGATACAAAACTGGGGGCGCTTCGCGAATGCTATCATAGTTCGAATCATTTTGTTCCCAAGTGTGTATTTTCTGAATTGAATATGTCATTATTAATATTCTTTTTCTAGTGATTGAGAGTTGTTGAAGGGTGCATAGGTTCCCACAGTGATAGTTGCTGTATAAATTCAACTCAAAATCATTGGATTCAGGCCAGTAGTGTGGACGGAGAAAGGGGAATACTTTTTTATTCGCTATCAAACTTAATTTTTCTGCTAAAAGGACACAAAGCTTCGAAGACCATTCGCTCGCGGCACTTTGTGAAATATCGGTTTTTATTGCATAGCACCACAGCCACCACTCTTACTATCACCATTTTGTGTCCAATTAAATTGCTAAGAATCTCAAACAAGGTCTTCGAAAATCAAAGACGTTTGTTTATCGTAAATTCTTTCAGTGCATGATATAACAATACGACGAATTTCAAATACAGATAACTTTAACGATTCCTGAACTACGGATGATTCTCGCGTTTAGAGCAATAGTCTCAGCAGAGAAGTAACGCGGAAAGATCGCGAGGAGGGTTATTATCGAACTGCGTACTGTATACAAGTGTCTTAGATTTCGGAGTTTTTGTATTGTCGCAACTATCTCTTCCGCGTTTTAAGGGATTCGTGTTACAAACGAGTGAAGCCGTATGCAATCATTGACCGGGAATGTAGATGATATAAACTGACTTGTATAACAGAGCCGTATTCCAAGTCCATAGAGCGTGCCGTCCTTCAAAAACTTCAATACAGGAAGTTCAATATTGTATTCCTTGTCGAATTGCGTGCTATCAATAAAGAGACAACATGTACAAAAAGGGAAGTTATTTTCTAAAACTGTGGCGATTTTCGAAGAGCCTAGGTGATCTACAAGGAGTTCAGCAGTTGTACATCACGATGGTATAGATCGTTTTGTGTCGGCAGGTAGTCTTAAGTTGTAAGTCAAATGGTCGCCGAACCAATAAATTTATGTGCTGGAGACCTGGAGTTGCAGAAAAATGGGGGTTTAGGGGTCCTTGTAATTTGCATCAATTTTACAACAAGCATTTGTGTGTAGTTCCCAATTATCGAACAAGTTGGTTGAAGTTGAGCCATCATTGAGGAGCATGAGCCATCTCATACATCCGCAATGACCTGACATGATTGCACGACAATCCGGAGATGACGCTTGTCGGCTATGAGTGGTATCGTCCCCCATGATGATATAGCTATTAACTTTGTCTCTCTATTTTTACGCTTGTGTAAGCCAGATTGCAGTACTCAGCACTTGATATCAATACATTCAACACCACATCAGTTTTGTGTGCGCGAGCTCAAAGAACTAAAATAATTAGACTAATAAAAGAAGCCACGAACACATTTAAGTTCCAGGCTGGTGGAATATACTGTGATTTATTTAATTTAGCATGTGAGTCTGCTCATTTTCGCTGAAAGCAAAACCTATTAAGTTTGGGTGGCGGCGTCGCCATGCGGTTGTGCGCGAAGTACTTATTCGCATACGGATCATTCGCATCTGATTTCTGATTGTCTGTTTGCATAGAGGCATGTGCACGTGCACAGTCTAATCCGCTACCCTTTGCAGTTCCAGAACTCGCACCGGCTCGTATCTGTTCCTTTACGCCCCTGATGATGTTCAATTTCCTCAGAGCTGCTCTACCCGATGATAGCTCTCTATTTGCACCATTTAAACCTTTGCCAATAGTTTTATGATTACACACGGACACGCCTCTACGCGAGCTACAATTGTTCTCACAGTCCTGACAGACTACTGGTGAACTTGACCGTGAATCATTGGAGGTATCAAAAAGCGCCAAAGATCTTTTTGGGCGTGCTGCCGTTGGCTTAGCCTCCGAGCCTTGAGCAAGAGATGTCCACCTCTGTTCTCGTGTCTTATCGTGCAGTGTAGCACCTGTGCCTGTAACTCCCTTCTTTTTAAATATCGATGAAGGCTGTGCGCATTCATCACTATCTCCTGACAAGTCAATAACTACCCTCGTGTTCGACATCGAGGAAATCTCCGACTTGATGGCCCGCTCGGTATTCGAGTTACTGCTGCTAGAGGGTGCAGCGTTTGATTTGGGCAAAAGAGAGGTCTTTTCCTTCTTCCCCGGAGCATATGCGTCAGCATCGTGCAGGTTATCAGTTGATCTGCGCGTGTGGCATTTGTCGGAATTCGTGGCCTAGAGGGTTAAATGTTAAAGTGAGTGAGAATCATGAAATCAGGAAAAGGACAACAATTTTGAACATGAACCGCATTTGTGATCTTTTGCCCCGTACTACCCACATATGAGCAACTACAAGTAACACCACGGCTTGGATCTGCAGCCACTTTTGCGATTGAGCGCAAAAAACTCTGCCATGGAGATGGTGACAGGCGTCAGATACGATATTTGCCAAAAGCTATCATGCAAGACGGTACGAGAGCAAGTTGAATATCAAACTTATTACCGCACAAGTCTTCAAATGACGGATGGGTGCAGAGAATCATTACACCACATGCTCAGATTGGACTTTATTGTCTTCCAAAATTAGAGAATTGCTACAAATAACTACTTACCTGAGAGACACCTGCGCATTTGACCTGGGCAAGCCCATTCTCATCCGCGCTATCACTGTCGCTCGCTGAAAGCAAGCGCTTCCGCTTTGTCCCTTTTCGCTGGACAACAACATCATCCTCGCCCTCCGATTCACTCGATGAGGGTACACGAAATCGACCCTTCGCCTCGCGACTGTCCGAGTTTCTGTTCCTTCTCTTGAGTTTACCATCTGATCCGGAGTCACCGTCACTGAATAGATTATCACACCATGTGTTCTTCGAATAAGATTTTACACTACGCGTGTGTGTACGACCCGCTGTACGTGGTGCCGCTTTCATATCTGTTACCCTTCTTCCACTTCCAGACATCTCTTGGCTATTGCCAGCACCTTTCTCCATCTTGATTTCACGTGTCGATGCAGATTGATCACGGTGCTCGTGTGTACCAAGTTCCTCTCGGAGCTCCATTTTCGTAACGCTTGCCTCCTGTTTGATGCCAGGAATTGTCCCTGTAGTACTGATGCGAATCCTTCTATAAACCTCACCAGGAAACACCTCTGGCGATACAGATTGCTCACGAGATGTGTACCTACAGCGCTTTGCCAAAGGCTCTACTTTCCCATCAATCGTTGGTTGCTTTGCGTCACAAGGTTTCCTTCTAGGATAGGCATGTGCATGTGTGCTGGGCTCCGCATCAAGCTCCAATCCAACCACGTTTGCCTCCTGCTTCATGTCAGGGATGTTTCTTTCCGCATCAACCATATCTCCCGCGAGTCCTCTATTGTAATCCCTGAAGGTCGCAGCAGGCTTCTCACTATGCGGGTGCTTAGTAGGCTCTGCACGCGGCTCCGACTTAACACCCACAGGCTTCCGTCGACTGTCATATGTACCATGTGTCGCTCCCTGTGCCCTCCCCGGCGCTGTTGGGCTTGTAGATGTCGTGCAGAATCGATTCCCAGAGCGTACCGTGTGTCCGTCCACCCCTTCCAGAATACTGCTCTTATAGTTCCGTGCCCTGACATTGTGGTCTGTCTTCTCCTCGGAAGGCTTCTCCCCCATGTGCATGCGCATCTTCGTTTTCATCCACTCCTCCATCCTTTTTCGGCGCTGCTCGTCTTCGGTATCCATTCTTGCTGCCTTTGCAGGTCGCTTCTGTGCCTCCAATGCACGCTCCAACTGGTCAGATAGCGAGTGCCCTGGCTGCGCATTATCCGTTCGATTCATCGCTGCAAAGGTTCTAAACTGCGCGTTGTTACCCTCAACCGGAGCACTCACTTCCTTACCACTATCCACAGTGGTTGTGGTCTTGTCCTGCCCACTATTCTTGACAGCCGTGCCGTAGCGCAGAGTCTTACCAGGTATCCGATCAGATGCTTTATAGGATGCTTCAACGCTGTATCGCGACGTGTCCGTAACCCAACTGGGTGCGTACGTGTATGATGGTTGAACAGCGGCTTTAGTTCTATCCTTATTCGCACTGGCCCGAGATGTGGAGTCAAGACCCGACGTGGCTGGGTGTGCAGTTGTGTGAAGACTGGTACGTCTACTATCGGTCGTGGATGTTCGCACAGCTTGAGTCTCGCTCTTCGCGGTGCTGGTGACAAAGCCAAACTTCTCCAAACTATCGAATCTATCCTTCTTGGGTTGTGCGGGATTCCGGCCCGGATTCACAGTCCTGCTGGTAGTCGCACGAACACCAACACCATCCCAGTTTTCCCTCTTGACCACAGACTCCTCTACCTTGACCGCAGTTTTCTCTACCTGGGTCGCACTACCATCGCCACGGCTTTCTTCTCTGAGTTCGGCCAGTTTCCGGTTCACAGCGTTGGTGCTCTTAACCACTTTGGCATTCCGTGCCGTGCGATTGGTGGACGTACCAGGCGATTGCCCTGCACTCATTCCCCCGTGTTTGTCTCCTTCCGGTCCATGCGCAGTAGACCCCGCAAACAACCCCCCCATTTGACCACGACTACTGGGCCCCAAACCAGACGAACTCGTGCCTAAACTCGCAAAGAAACCCTTGGGCTGCACGGGGCGATTCTTCAGAGCTTCTTCGGCCTTCGCAGCACTCTCCCACCGCTCTTGAAGTGCCCTTTCTGCGTTCTGCGAGTGTTTAGCAAACGATTTGGCCATGCGGTGTGCACGAGCCGTAGTGCTATATCCGTTGGCGTTCGATCCACTCCGAGCAAAAGACTGCAGATCCAACCCAATGCGCGTGCTCTTCTTTTCAATCACACGTGGCTTAGGCGTCGTCTTCCTTTTCTTTTTGCCCTTCTTCGTGGTAGTCCTCTTTGGTGCCTTGCGTTTCCGCCTTGTTTTACGCACGGGTGCCTTGGGTTTGGGCTTTGGCCGCGACTTGCGCTGCTCTGGCGGAAGGTTGCGCACACGCTCTTGCAGCAACGCACTAAGCCTAGCCACCCTCTCGGACTCGAGGCTAGTCAGAGATTCGTCCTCCGAATCAGAAGCAACAACGCCCCTACCCCTACCACTCCCCGTCTTAATACGCCCACTTGAGGTCCCTGGACTATCCGGTCGGCTGCTGAAGTGAGTGGACGTCACCCTAGGCCCGTTGCGCAGGCCCCGTCTGGGTGTATCTCCATCTGTATTGCTGGGTTCGTCAATCTCACTCGTACTGTCATCACTGTCACTGGTACTATCCACCTCAGAGTCAGTCGCACTGCCGCTGCCTTTATCGTCATCGGTGTCGCTGGCGCCGGAGGTGTACTCCACCTCGTCGTCACTCACCATCCAGCCGTCATTGACGTATCCATTCCTATCCAGAGTCTCATCGCGACTCTCCCGGACAGCCGACCGGAACTCATGCTTCGGACCTTCAGTGGTGACGGGGCTGTCCTCATATGCCGGACGGGGACCGCCTCTCGACAGCCTGGCCACACAATTGGGACAGAACCACTCTTCCTCCATTGGGGGCAAATCGTCCAGGCCTGCGCAGAGCATGTGATAAGCCCTGGGGCACATGCTACCGTCCGCGAGGACTCCATCGCACAGCAGAAGTTCGGCTTCATTCTCGCTCGACCGGCAGACTTCGCACGCCGCATTTCGCACTGTAAGGGTAGTCAGGTCGAATCAGTTTGGAACGGGACACATCAGACTGGGTACGGTAGATACACTGATTTGAATACGGTGGTAGTGAGGAGCACGCCACGTGTACGCGAGGCGAAGCCATCTCAAATACGGCGATACACTCGTGCACTGGGGAGGTGCCCAAGTTTTGGCTGACGCATCACAAGGTAAACCAAAGCATCGTTACGTATGAAAGAAAAGGGGGTGACACTCAACTCACGCACAGACAACACTCTCGGCATACGCAAGTGGCCGTTTGACAAACAGTGGTAACATAGCCTCACCAATAGCTGCCTCACAATAACAACACCAGTCACATACCGTGTTCAGCTAAGTCATCGGCTTCGGGGTCGGCGGCGAACTGCTTCTGTTGCACATGTATAGTACGCAGCAACGATCTCTGGTCGACCCGACCACCATACACATCGATATGTTCGAAAGGTGTCCGGCACATAGGGCACGCGGTACTACTCTCCGCCCAGGTCTCGATACAGAGGAGACAGAACTTGTGCAAACACCCCCGCAGACCCCCCCATTGCAGCCCAGGATCATCGAGGCAGATTGGACAGTCCACTCCGGCGCCCCCCATATCCCGTGAGTACAAAGCCTGGCTTGATCCGCAGACTATACCCTACAGCTGAACGGCTTCATGCCAGCGAAACTGGAAGTGCAAGGCTTGGGAGTGCGACCTTTTAGGCAATTTAGGGCTATATTGCACCCGTGACCTTTGGGGCGCAATAGGGCTATATTGCATCTGTGACAATGCTGGTTACCACTCCGGATTGCACTGTTTTGCTGACAGGCTGTGACGGCTGCGCTTGAATTGAAGCGAGGGCTGTTGAAAGAAACAAGACAATGCCATCGTAGAAAATGTTAGTCGGCGGGAAGGACGCTGTTTTGAAAGGTTGACATTGCAATGGCAAGACCCAATCAATGCGGCTACTCAGTTATACCTTCAGATAGGTGTTGCGGTACATTTAGGATGTACTTTAGACTTTCCATGCCAATGTCTACAATCGTATAAACAGACTGATCATGCCAGTTTGAGAAGTGAATATCCTATATACATGTTTACATTTGATAGCAGGTAGAGATCTTATAAATCCCGATACTATAAGCGGATAACATATACATACAATTCAATACATATAACAAATAGGGCGTGTTCAACGATTTGTTTTGTGTGAAAACCTGCGTTCATGTATGTGGACATTTCCATATAGAATTTTTACGCTAACATACAGGGAGGCATACATTCTTCACTAATTGAAACGTTGAAGTGCGGATAGGTGAACACACATTCGTAGTAGTTATCAAAATGATCATGAATCAGCCGCATATGTAATTGTTTTTGAAAAGCAAAGTATAATGTCAAACAGGTTCACCGAAGTGTGAATACGATTGTGGAATCAATTTTCTTACAATTTATGAAGGTAAACAGAGGATGCAGCTTATACAAATGTGAATATATACACACACATATATATATATATATATATATATATATATATATATACCTACTTTATTACCTTAACTTTAA